GTAAAACGTGGTTTAGTGAACACGACCTGAGGCCCAAACCTGGCGGGCCCAAGCCTGGAAACTGACGGCCGCGGCTCTCTCTCGAGAACCGACAGCGGACAATTCACTAGTCGACGTGTCACTGTTGGGGGTTCTGTCCACCCCCGAGACACAGGCCAGAGGCTGCGCACGATGGGCCGAAGGTCCGAGAGCCCACCGGATGCACGAGCAGGACGGGGTTCGGCGAAACCCTTCGAGACCACTGCCGGCGTTTTCAAACAACCCTCCAGTACATTTACCAGGAAAAGCGACGACCGCCCCCGCGCCCACGAGTTCAACGTTCAGATTCAAGCACAGGCCGCCACCAGGAGCTATGACATCCGGGTCCAGGGCTTGGCCCAGCGTGCATGTATTTTATATCTGGGCTCGTGCTTCGAAAACCACAGCATCAAGTAGGAAAACGAAACGATTCACGCGCCGCCATGAATGAAGAGCGCCAGAGATAAGGAACGAAGGGCTCTTCTGGCCACCGCGAGCCTCGGCTGGGAATAGGCGAATAGGCTTCCCGAGCTCGGTCCACTGAACGGCCCGAGAACATGGGCCCCTCTCGAGCCCGAGGTGGCTCTTCTTCCAGTGTCCTGACGAGAAGATCGTGCGGGGCGCAGGTCCAGGCCCTGGGGAACCAGAGACAGAACTCGCGGACCGAACCCCCAGGTCTTGCTCCACTGGAGGCCTCCATGATGGGGTCGGTGATGGGGTCGGCGCGGAGGCAAGCGGGCTCCACATCAATCCGCCTCGCCGATGCATCGGAGATGCGTTGCCATCCTGCGACCCCATCTACTGGGACCACATCTGGACGGCCCAGATCCACCCTGAAGCCCTACCCAGACCCTCGACGACCATATTTTTTCATGACCGCGACCCCCAAAGGTCGCGACCAACTCCCAAGGAGCGGTTCTTCATCCGGAATCCTTTTCATTGACGGTCCCGAAGCCCGGTGGGGGCCCCCAGAAGCCGAAGATAGCGAAGAACCTCCCGTCGTAATTTGTGCATGACTCAAAGGGGGCCTGGGTACACGTCGTTCACTTCTAATCGTGCTCATTCCTAATTGTACTCGTTTCTAATTGTTCCTGACCTCCTAGTGGCCAGGAAGAGGCCCAGGATAGAAGAATTCGAAATGACCAGATCTTGGCCCCCAAAAAATTTAAGAACCCTCGAATAATTATAACTGAACAGTGTGTACGTCTTCAGGACGCACTGCGCCTCGGAAAACATCTCGACAACTGCTCGATGCACCACCTCCTCGCGGAAATGCCCCGCACCGGACCGACCATGCGAGGGCCTCGGGGCCCCCTTGCCGGCAGAGGCGCCCCGCGCGATCATGTCCCGACCCCCTGGTCTGACTCGTATGACAACAGGGGATCGGCGGCGAGCGAGGGGGGGAAGCGAGAAGGAAGAGGCCTTCTCAGAAGGCCCGGAAGTCCCACGGCCTTCTGAGAAATTTTCTGGGCCTTCCCCGAAGACACGAAACACTTCCCAGAAGGCGCGAGGGCTTCTGAGAAGCCCGGCCGGCTTTTGAGAAAGCCTTCTCCTTCTCATTTCCCCCCCTCGCTCGCCGCCGAGGGGAGGGCCTGGCTGGCCTGGCCCTGGCATCGGGGAACAAGTACTAACACGAACACTCACTTTCGGAGGTCCCCGCGGAGCTCTCGGATCGGCGCTGGAGCGCCCCGGCGGCGCTTCCGGCGCCGCCCCTGCGGCGCTCCGCGCGCCAGGGAGGGGGGAGCTTTGCGAAGGCCGCGCGGACCTCCGAAAATTCACCAAGCAGTGCTTGCACTTCGGGTGTCTGACGTTTTTTTTTTTTGTTGCTCCACTGCTGGGTCCACTGCTGGGTCCGCCGCCATTCTGTCGCCGTCGTCGCCCCGTCGCCGCCTCGCGCCGCCCGTCGTCTGGGCCGCAGTGCCAGGTCCGCCGCCCTGCTGTCGCCGTCGCCGCCACGCCGCCGCCTCTTGGCCGCCTGTCGTCGGGGCACCTGTGCCGCCTTGTCGTCGCGGTCGCCGCCCCGCTGCCGCCTTGCCACCGGTCGTCGTCTAGGCCACAGTGCGTGTCCGCCGCCTTGCTGTCGCCGTCAGCGCCCCGTCGCTGCTTTGCGCTACTTTGCATTGCTCTGCTCTAATTTGAATTGCAATACATTGATTTGCGGAGCACACGCACTTCGCCAAGCAGACGAAGGCACCACACGTCAGGAGAAACATACCGATATGGAAGGCGAGAAATCGCTGTTTGTCGCTGTCGCCGCCCCGCCGCCGCCCGACATAGATTGCACCACATAGCTTACACCACATAGAGTGTACCAAACAAACTTCACCACGTAGAGTGCACCACCTAGATTGCACCACATAGATTGCATCACAGTGCTTGCACCACATAGATCGCACACCATGGATTACCACACATCGACTGCACCACATAGATTGCACCACATAGGTTGCGCCTGGTAGATTGCACCACATAGCTTACACCTCAGATATGGCACCACAGAGAGTGCACCACATATATTGCACCACATAGATTGCACCACATAGATAGCACCGCGTATATTGCTAGTTACTACTTTGGGGGCCCAGGCTGGCTAACATTATGTTCAGGTCATGATGTGTCCCCCAAGAATACACGCGATAGCAGCATCACGATGCCCAACCTCAAATGCCGCCCAGAAGTGACAATGGCCGCCGCCGGGCAGCCAGGGTGCCCCACAGGTCTGGACGGCGCCCACGCGAGAGAACGGCAACACCTGCCTATGTCGGCCCTCTCTCGACAAGGGGAAGCAGCAACGACGCACGCAAACACCTAATCAGCTCGGAGGTCCGCGCGGATTCCTTGGAGCGGCGCGTCAGCCCGCTCGCGGCACCTCTGGCGCCGTGCCTCGCGCGCCAGGGAGGGGGTGGGGCCAGCGCCGATCCAAGAGGTCCGCGCAGACGTCCGAAGATCTGTGTTTCTGCAGTTTGTCCTCCTAGACTCGATGGTCCTTCTTTGCCACCGCCGCCGGCGCCGCCGCCGCCCCGCCGCCCGCGCCCGCGCTGCCCTCCCTGGGCAGCTCGGGGACTCCGGGCTCGGCGGCGTCTGTCGAGGCGGCCGCCACCTCTCGGGGGAGGGCCAGCTGGCCACCTCGCCGACCCTGACCAGGCACACCCTGGCCCCAGGGTCAGAGTACCAAATCGTCGACGACATGGGCTTTCCGACCGGCGGAAGACATAGATTTCGACCTTCGGTGGCTGTTGTCGGGTCCTGGGACTATCCAACATGGACCCGGGACAGAAAGCTACACCTGGGGGAGGGGTCGTGACCTCCGGGGCTTGACAAAGTCACACCGTCGGACGTCCAGGTCATATGTCATATGCCCACCCTGGCCGAGCCAAGAGCACGTGCGACACCACCGACCCCTGGGCCCAGGGGCGGGGCTTGGCCCGGATCGGTGAGGGGTCCCCCTCACGCCACCCCCCCCTCCCCGACACACCTTGGCCTGCGCCCCCGCCATGGCCGCCGCGGCCGCGGCCATGGCCGCCGCGGCGCCGCCCACGCCCCTGCCCGCATCCTCGGAGGGAGGCGGGCCCCCGAACCTCGCGCCTAGCGCTGGGCGAGTGGCGCCCGGGGCCTTCACGCTCTCCCGCGAACCGCCCATGGCCATTGTGACCGCTCACGACGACGACAACCAGGACGACAACTACGGCGACGAAGACGACGACGAAGACGACGACTAAGACGACAACGACGACAAAGACGACGACGAACGCGCCGTGAGCGCCAACGTTCGCTCGCCCACCGGAGCCCTGCGGTACGGCGCGGGCAACGCAATGAGAGACAACACAAGCTGCGTGCAGGTGAGCGGGGTAAACAGTTTGAGCTGGCGGCGCGACGACATGCGGACGCGGTTGGTGCCCCCACGTTCAAGGAAGCAAGGAGGGAGGGAGAAGAGGTGCGGCGACAAGGTGCGCTCGTGCCACATCTGACATCCCATCCCTCCCTCCCTTCCATCACGTCTATCCGCGGAATCGTGTCATAGCCAACCTGGAACTCCATCACCCCAGCAGAGCACCCTAGCAGCAAAGGTGACCTGTGGGACCTATGGGGCAGGTGGGAATTGTGGAACTTGTGCGGTCTGTGGAACATGTAGAACCTGTGGGACTTCTGTGCCCTGTTGGACGTGTGGGATATGCGGGACCTCTGGGGCAGGTGGGAACGGTGGATCTGTGCGACCTGTAGGACCTGCGGGACTCGTGGGACCTGTGCGACCTGGGGGGCCTCTGTGGCCTGTGGGACAGGTGAGACCTGCGACACCTGTGGGACCTGTCGGGCCAGGGCCTGTGGGAATTGGAGGACCTGTGAGACCTGTGGGACCTGTGACACTGGCGGGACGGGCGGGATTTGGAACTTGTGGGACCTGGGGCACCTCTGTGGGACCTGTGAGGCATGCGACGCCTGTGGGAACTGCGGGACCAGTGGGTCATGCGACACCTGTGGAACCTGCCAGACACGTGGGACCTGTGGGACGACTTGCGACACCTGTGGGTCCTGCGAGACTTGTGAGACTTGTGGGACCTGCGACACCTGTGGGATCCAGAACAAATCCACTTCGGGGCGGAACCGCCATTCTGAATGATGGGAGCACAGCGTCGAGCCGAAAATGAGGCCCACACTCAAGCCAGAGCACCCTTGTTAAAACACCGTGAACAATCGGAGTGTAAATTCACATAGGGGGAAACAAGTCGGCCCAATCCTGTGGGAAAAACAGAAAACAGATGGGTGCGGGAGATCTTCCGGACAGTTGAGGGAGAGGGGGGAGTAGGACTCCGATTGAGTAACTGTCAAGCCCAAGGGGGGCGCCATACACTGGCGGGGTCAAAGGCCAGAAACCCTCAGACCCTGTCCCTCAGGATGAGATGTCACCCGAGGACGATGCCACACGAGGTGTGGCGCGTGTCGATCCTCGACCTCGAGTGCTGGACAGCAACGTGGTGTTCGACCCCGCTGGAACGGGGCGAGCACACGCTCGGAGCAGGGCGAAATATGAGTCAGCGGCAGCTCGAGCTCGGCCCCTTGCCCCCTCCCGGTGCCCAACCGCACCCCTCTCCCGAGCTGCGTCGGGCCGTGGCGGCGAGGGGCGCCTCCGAATATGCCAAGACCGCCGCCACCTCAGAGCTCGCCCTCCGACCTGGACACGCCTGAGGCCAGCGCTCGTCCCGAGGGCCCCTGCCCCGCCCCAGAGCAGGGCGGTCGTCTCAGAACTCGCCCTCCTCTGGCACGCTGCGGCCATCTCAAAACTCGCCCTCCCTGGGCACACTGTGGCCGTCTCCAAACGCGCCCTCCTCTGGCACGCTGCGGCCGTGCCAAAGCTCGCCCTCGTCCAGCATGCCGCGCACCTCTGGGGCGTGCAGAGGCAAGAGGCAAGTCCGACCGGGCGACTCGAAGAGCCGCACGCCCCATGAATGGGGACGGGAACGAAGACTGTGAAACAACAAAGACGAACTACCTGTGCAAATTCCGAATCACACCCCTCACGCACAGGAGTGCTCGGCGTCGCGCGCGGCGGTGATGCTTCGCGGTTGCGCCCTCACAAGAGCGGGAGCTCCGGGAAGGCACGGCGCCGACCGCGCGCGGCGGGCGGCCAGTCGACGCCCCTGGCCGCGAGCGGGGTCCCGCTGCCCGCTCGCTCGGCGCCGCGCGGGGACACCGAGAGCCCCTCGATCCGAGCCGAGCGCGCCGCGCCTAGGGCGGAGGAGGGACTCCTCCTCCTCCTCCTCCTCCTCCTCCTTCTCCTCCTCCTCCTCCTCCTCCTCCTGCTCATGCCCATTCCCTGACATCCTCTCACTACCCCTAAAAAAAGGGATCGGCTTTCGGATGTTTTCGTCGGCTCTCGGCAGTTTTCCAGCCTCAGGATGCTCTCCAACACCTGCGCTTCGCCGAGGACGCTCCGGGAGGGCCCATATCGTCCCGAACGGCCTCTGGAATTTAGAATTATGATCCGGAAGCCGCCAGACGTTATCCTGGCGCAGGACCCAATCATTTGCAGTTGTGAGTGCCGCGATTGTGCATGTCGTCTTAAGTAAAGCTCCCTATGGGGCCACAAAGCGTATGAGAGGTGTGCCGAAATTAACCTGGGGGCGCATGCGACCCCCCTTTCTGGGGCATTCAGTGGAGCTCCATGTAAGGCCGCGAAAAGTGTGACGGGTGTGCCGACATGGGTCTGGGGACAAATGTGAGCTGTGTCACTTGGGCCAAAGCGTGTGAGGCGTGTGAGGGGTGTGCCAGACTGGAGACCGTATAAAAACCGCATGCGACCCCGCCCCCGCCCCCTGGGTCCTTCGGTGGAATAACCTGTGGGGCTACGGAACGTGTGAGGGGTGTGCCAGAATGCGTAGGACACGCCTGCGACCCTCTCTTGGAGCCTTCGGTGGAGCTCCTTGTGTAAGGCCACCACACGTGTGAGGGGTGTTCCGAAATAGGTAAGAATCGCATGCGAAACCCACATCCTGGGGGCTTTTGGTGGAGCTCCCTGTGCGGCAACGATACGTGAAACCGGTGTACCAAAATGGATAAGGACTCAAGGCGAAACCCCCCTCCTGGGGGCTTCGGTGGAGACCACCCCCATATGCGTGAGGAGTTCTTCAGGAATAAGAACGGATGAGAAACGCAAGCGAACCCCCCCCCTCTCCTGGGGCCTTCGGTGTAATCCCCTGTGTGGCCACGGGACGCGTGAGAGGCGTGTCAACATGCGTAGGGCACGCCTGCGACCCCTCTCCTGGGGCCTTCGGTGGAGCTCTCTGTGTGGCCACTAAACGTGTGAGGAGTGTGCTGACATGGGTGTGAACCGCATGCGAAACCCATATCATGGGGGGCTTCAGTGGAGCTCCCTGTGCGGCCACGAAACGTGAAAAGGGTGTGCCAAAATGAATGCGAAACCACTCTCCTGGGAGCTTCGGTGGAGACCCCCATGGGGCCACGAAACGTGTGAGGGGTGTGAGATTTCTCTATCGAATGAAACCGCAAGCGACCCCCCCCCTCCTGGTGGGGCCTTCGGTGGAGCTCCCTGTGGAGCCATGGAACGTGTGAGGTGTTTGCCAGAATGCGTAGGAACCGTCGGTGACCCCCCCCTCCTCGAAGCTTCGGCGAGCCCCTTGTGAGGCAACGAAACATGTGAGGGTATCCCGAAATGGCTAAGAACCCCAAGCGACCCCCCCTATCCTCCGGGCTTCGGTGGAACTCCCTTTGGGGCCACGAAAAGTGCGAGGGTGTTCCGAAATCGGTAAGAACCGCATGTGGAGACCCCCTCCTGCGGGCTTCGGTGGAGCGTTCTGTAGGGCCACGAGGCGCGCGAGAGGTGTGTCAAAACGAACCAGAATCGCAAAGCGACCCCCACCCAGGGGCTTTCGGTGGAGTTACTCCCTTTCGGGCCACGAAACGTGTGAGGAGTGTGCCGCAGGAGCGCATTGGGAGGGCAGAGGCAAGGCTGGGACGAGGGAGGAT